AGAAATGTTAAGACAAAAAAGGTAGATTATTGAATCTACTTTTAAAAAGCAACTACTATATTCCAATACATTGGGCATGTAGAAAGACTGAGTTTGAAAAGTTGCTTAAAATAAAGATTCTTTGCTTTTACCAAAAAAAAACTACTAGTTTTCAATTCATTTAACAATGTAATATGAATTTCTAGTCTTTGAAAATTATTATTATCAACTGTTTAGGATAATCAGGAAATGTAGGTTTGTAGTTAGCCACTAGTATGATAGAACTCATGGTCATACTAGGTATATTTTCAAGGTCAAAGATATATTTTAGACAGACAGATCATCTTCAGACACTTCAGAGATCTACATAATATGGCATTTAAGATGCTTTATCCTAGGTTCTTTCTTATGACAAGGAGACAGGTCTGTTACTGGCAGCATCAATCTAATTCAGAGAAGATAATGGGCATCAAAGAAACTCCACATGTTGTTTACTTTCTTTGTGGCAAAAGTAAGCCACTGGACAAGAAAATGTTATTGCCTCGACTGCTGACAGTATGCTGTTGTTGTAGGAGCTTGCTTGTTTATTCCTGACTGCTCAGCCCCAAAATAATCACACAGAAACCATATTATTTGCAATACTATTTGGCCAATAGTTTAAGCATATTTCTGGCTAACTCATATCTTAAATTAACCCATCTCCATTAATCTGTGTATCACCACAAGGCTGTGGTTTACTGGGTAAAGTTCCCGTGTCTGTCTCCGATGGGGCTACATGGCTTCTCACTGACTCTGTCTTTTTTTCTCCCAGCATTCAGTTTAGTTTTCCTTGTCTAGCTCTATTCTGCTGCCCTATCACATGCCTCAAACAGCTTCTTTATTAACCAATGATATTCACAGCATACAGAGGGGAATCTCACAACACCTCCCCTTTTTTGTTTAAATAAAAAAGAAGGTTTTAACTTTAACATAATAAAATTACATAGAATAAATCAGGTATTAAGCAAAAATTACAGTTACAATATTTAAATCTACTTTATCTTTTATCATAACTAAGGACAACTATAACTATATATTCTTCAACTCCATCAGAGACTCCAGAAGGATATAATATTACCTAAATAAACAGGAAGTGCATTGTAGGCAACTTTCAATCTCTAGAATTGACAGAGACATCTTGCTGCCTGGACAGTCACTCAAAGTTCTTCTGTATCATTGGGGCATTCAGTCTTCAGCCTATAGGCACAAAGTATCAGGCAGACTTTTCGATGAAGCAGGAAATTTGAAAATCTGTTCTGCCTTCTAATGGCAAAGTCCATCAGTTATTTTATTCTGTGTCCTGCAGAATGTCTGAAAGTTTCTTTCATGAAGCAGGAACCCTGAAGAACCATCTCACCGTTAGGCAAGTTCAGCAGTCATTTCTCTGTAGGTCCTGCCTGTCCAGTTCATGCAGCATAACATCAAGCAGTCCAGGCAAGAGCAGCTTCTTACCCAAATGGCTATCAAAGTCCATAAGGAGCCTCTTCAATGTCCATCATCCTCTTGAAGTAGATTGGTGCTGCTAGGAGCAGACATGTCTCATTGTCATGAAAAGTCCTAAGTTCTTAAAACATTTTAAGTGCCATATTCTGTTATTCTTTGAAAGATCTGAAGAATATCTATCCATCTGAAATATATCTGTGTACATCTAGAAAACCTAAGTAATATGACTAGAAGCTTGTCTATTATAGATGATATCTATTAACCTATATTTTTAATTATATATTACATTTTAAATGAGCTGCACAAATGCAATATCTTAATCAAGAACGGAAATATACATAAAAAAAACTGACCTAAAATTTGTATCAATAGACCAGAATCCATACCAATGAAAATCTCAATAGCATATCCCCCTTTAAATGTAAACAATCACTTATAGGCAATATTTGGTAATATGGGCATAGTTCTCTCTAAACTGCTTTCTGCTTTTTGTTGGGTGAAGTATTTTTGGGGGTGTTCATGGCAACTTTTCGGGGTGTCTTGGTGCACCAAATCACATTAGTCTGGTAGAATTTCACAGGTTCTCATTCTCTGTGGAAACAAAAGAAGAGCCTCTTTCTAAAGCAACAAATTCTTAGACTCAAATTCTGAAGTCAAGATACCATTATGTTGGTTTAACTTAGCAGCCCATACAATGAAATGTCTCTCTGTACTCAGCTCCTGCACAGTCAAAAAATTCAAAGAAAACACAATAATGCACATAACCCAGACCCTGTGTAAATTCCGTCTTTAAACAGCTTATTCTTCTTTCCTCTTTTTCTTCTCTCTCCCAAACCTACGTACATTTATCCAATACTGTGACCCATTTAGAGGTCTTTTCCATATGGATTTGTCTTTATTGAATATCTGTAATTATATTTTGACCAGAAGTGCTCCTTAAAATACTTAGCATCCTTACTAAGACTAAGGCTGCTTTTTCTTTTGGCTCTACCTAGACCAGCATGGTGGGGCAGAGGTCTGTTTAGCGCAAGTCATGCCCACAGCCCCATTTTTTAGGCACACAGCCAGTCAATGTTGCCATTAAACAAGTTGTAGAACTCTGCTCACAAAACACATTTAAATGCTCCATAGCCAGACCCCTCAAAAGTGTCAGAGTTCATGCTGACAGCAGTGCCCAGGAAGCCGTTGTTTCAAAACTACGTGGTTTGTTTGTTTGTTAGCTACCACTGAATCAGTAAGACCTCTCTTTTTTTGTTTGTTTGGGGTTTTTTTTGTTTTGTTTTGTTTTTTTGAGACAAGGTTTCTCTGTGACTTTGGTACCTGTCCTGGAACTAGCTCTTGTAGACCAGACTGGCCTCAAACTTACAGAGATCTGCTTGCCTCTGCCTCCTGAGTACTGGAATTAAAGGTGTGTGCCACTACTGCTTGCTAGGAAGAATTCTCTTAAAAGAGCCACAGCAAGCAAATGAATGCCATCTGAAAAAAAAATGTGGCTAAACTTTGGTTTTTAATGTCTAGAATTCCTTTCCAAGCCCCCTCAGGTTTTATGTGGATTTAGCTAGCACATGTTGGAGCACCAGTTTGTTGTAGGAGCCTGCTTGTTTGTTCCCAGCTGCTCAGTCCCAAAATAATGACACATATTATTTGCAAAACTGTTTGGCTAATAGCTTAAGCACATTTCTGGCTAACTCATATCTTAACTTAACCCATCTCCATTAATCTGTGTATCACCACGAGGTTGTGGCTTGCCAGGTAAAGTTTTCGTGTCTGTCTCCAATGGGGCTACATGGCTTCTCACTGATTCTGCCTCCCTTCTCTCAGCATTCAGTTTAGTTTTCCCCACCTAGCTCTAGTCTACCCTATCACAGGCCCAAACAGCTTCTTTATTAACTAATGGTTTTCACAGCATACAGAGGGGAATCCCACATCATGCTGTCCTAATTGGACAAGCAGAATACAAAGAAAGTGACTGCTAAACATTGTGAAGACAAGGAAGGACAGCCCTTCAGAATATTCTGCTTCACAGAAAAGTCTGTCGGATATGTTAGGTCTGTAGGCTGAAGATGGTTGCCCCAACATTGCAGAGGAACTCTGGGTGACTGTCTAGGCAGTCAGCTATTTCTGTCATTTCTCACATTTTTTGAAATTCACTTGCTTGTACTTCCTGTTTATTCAGTAAATATTATTTCCTTCTTGGGTCTCTAATGGAGTTGAAGACTAGATTTTATAGTTTTCCTTGTTTACCAGACACAGAAAGCAAATTATGATAGAAACTAAATTAGGTATAAGACTTTGGACTCACAAAGATGGAATAGATATGGAGTATTTTCTCTGAATTTGTCAAATGCAAATGGACTAGGCATTGTTGATGTACTTTTGCCTGTATGTATTATATATAGTTATTGTACTTACTGCATATAGTTTTTCTTATATTAGTTATAGCTTTCCTTTTTATTTTAGACAAAAAGGGGAAATATAGGGATATTTTATTCATGTTTTAATAAATAAAACTTGCCTGAATATCAGAAGGGCAAAGCTAAATCACCAGAGGTCAGACAGAGGTGGCGCATGCACACACACATTTAATCCCAGGATTTAGGAGACAGAGGCAGATGGATCTCTGTGAGTTCAAGGCCACCCTATGCTACAGAAGTTCAATGCAGAAACAAATCCAGGTGGTGGTGGCTCACACCTTTAATCCCACTACTAAAGAGTCACATGATTTTAATCCATTTACTAAGGGGAATATAAATTGAGAGGAGAGAAATCCATGAGGTGGCAGTGCATGCCTTTGATCCCAGCACTCAGGAGGCAGAGGCAGGCAGATCTCTGGGAGTTCAAGGACACCCTGATGTACAAGAGCTAGTTCCAGGACAGCTAGGGCTGTGACACAGAGAAACCCTGTGTCGAAAAACAAAAAAAAAAAAAACAAAAAAAAAAGAAGAAAAGAAAAAGAAAGAAAGAAAGGAAAGAAAAAAAAGAGGCTCTGGCTGCTTATTCTGCGTAGTCTGCTTAGCCTTGATCACCCAGCCTTGGTATCGGTAAGACTTCTCTAGTGACTTGACTGCTTTGCTTTTTCTGGTTTTTGGGTTGAGCCCCAATATCTGACTCTGGGATTTTATTATTTGTGCTACAAGTCCTCATTTGCTCCCATCAGTTGCTGGATGAAGCTTCTCTGATGATGACGGGGCTAGGTACCAGTCCTTGAGTACAGCAGAATATCACTAGGAATCATTTATTGTTTTGTTTCTTGTTTCTGTCAATTGTTTGGTTCTGGACTAGGTCTCTGGGTCCTGACCAGTGTCAGGCATGGGTTCCCTCTCATGGTGTGGGCCTCAAGTTGGCCACTCCCACAAGTTCTTCTCCACCATTGTCTCAGCACATCTTGCAGGCAGGACAAATTATAAGTTGAAGGTTTTATGGCTGGGTTAATTTCCCAGTCCCATCACCGAAAGCCTTGCCTGGCTGCAGAAGATGGCTGGTTCAGGTTCTAAACCCCTATTACTAGGAGTCTTCACTGGGGTCACCCTCATAGATTCAGAAACACGGAACATGTCGTAAACTTGCGTGGCATTCTTGTGTGGGGGCCATGCCAATCTTCTCTTTATAGATCCAGTGTTAGCACATGTGCTGCCAAAGCGGGCACCCAAGGTGAGTTTGCATCAAGCAAACATTTTATTATTCCATCTGACATTTCTGATCCAACAGCTCTGTAATTTTCTGGTACATAAAAGATACCTCACGGTTTCTAAAATCTTCTAAAATCTAACACTCATGTCAAATCTGTTTATTTATGAGGTTCCTGTAAACCAATACCTTTCGGTTCTGCGGGTGACTGCCCTGAGACTGTGGGCACACCTTCCCCACTGCTTCCAAGCCTAGAGGCGATGCTTCTCCATAGCTACTAACACAAATAGCGAGCTGGTCGGCTCCATCTGTCTTTGACCGCTAAAGCTATTTGCGATCCTTAAAAGTGCTTGTATCTGTTTGATCACATGAGTGCAGCGCATCTGTGTTAAAGAAGCAGCGGGCAGTGAAGGCGGCTGTGCAGTTCCAGGAGGTGAAGAGGAGTAAATGAGGCCTCTCGGTGCTGCTCGTATTCAACCTGAGAGGCCAGATGGGATCATCCTTTTTAATACAAACCACAGAGAGAAAAATACCCCATGATTCTACGTTTGGGTCACAACAAAATGTTTTAGTTGGGGGAGGGGGCCAGTATTTATTTTATTTGGCTTTTTGAGATAAGGTCTCTCTACATAACCTTGGCTGTCCTGGAACTCACTATGTAGACCAGGCTGGCCTGGCCTCATACTCACTGAGATCTGCCTGCCTCTGCCTCGGCCTCCCAAGGTCTGGGATCAAAGACATGCACTACCATACCTGCTTTAAAGAGCATTTTGCTCAATTCTTTGCAGCCTTTCTTCATGGTATATTGCATTTTTAAATGATATTATTGTGTCCACCTGTTCCGTGCCTGCTTTCACTGAATAATTCGCTATGAATATTTTAATTTTAAGTAGTTTTGCTTGTTTGTTTGTTTTGGTTTTGGTTTTGCAATGAGGTGAGCAGCCAGAGCCAACTTTAGCTGTGTGAGGATCACTCTGACTCCTACAGCCCCTGCCACCCCCTCCCAAGGGCTAAAATTCCAGCTGTAATAAACAGGATGCCAGCATGCTTGTCTGTGGCGTATGCTTTAAATCCCAGCAGCCGCGAGGCAGAGGCAGGTGAATCTGTGTGAGTTCAGGGCCAGCCTTATCTATTACAGTGAGTTCCAGACCAGCCAGTGTGGTGATACCGTGTCTCAAAACACAAGAACAAGCAAACACTTACATCTAAACCCAAAAATATCAACTCCTGATCTTGCACCAATTTCTTGGTCTCTCAAGGTCCCTCTTCCCTCCCTGCCCTGCTGTGAGCCCGCTCCACCAGACTTAGCTCTCCAAACCCCTGAAGCCTCTTGACAGCCTCATGTTTGTCTGTCGACAAGATGTTCTAGAAGGAATTATTGCTTCAGCTCTGCCTTTCCCTCTCCCTGCATAAGGATTTGCCGTTAGAGTTTGCGGAATGGAAATGTCTTCCATATTTATTTATTTTAGGTTCAGCCACCTGATCTGCTTTAGCCAGTGTAACATTTGTGGTCCTGGCATGAGCGCAAGGACCAGACTGACCAGTTTGGTTTGACTCCTGGTCCATATTTCCACTCGGACAGGCCCGCGAAGCTGGTCTGAACCAGCCACAAAGCCAGAAGCAAAGCCCAGTCAGCCTGGGAGAAAGAAAAAGATGTAAGCAGTTGGAACCACCTGGGTGGGGCTGCCTGCCTGCCTGCCTGCCTGCCTGTTTGGCAGCCACAACCATCTAAGAGCAGATGTCTGAGGAGTCTGAAGGCTGAAGGCAGGCCGCTCCCCTCCCCACTTACCTCCCACCCTGTTCCCCCTCTTCTCCTCTCCCCTCCCCTTTCCTCCCCTGCCCTCTTCTTTCTCTTTTGCTCCTTTTTCTTTCTCCCTCCCTCTCTCTCTTTCCTCCCCCCCTTCCCTCTTGTGTTTTCCGGTGTCTGCTCTCTTCCTGCGTTTCCTGTCACCCTGTCCTTGGTTCCTCCCTCTACCCCTGCCGTGGGACAGGCTAGCCTTGTCCCCCTCACCCTCAGATCTGCAGAGTCCTGTATTACCCACCCCCCCAACACACACACACACACACACACACACACACACACACACACACGAAGAGATCATTTCCATGCTCTCTGGACTCTGATGAAAACCCGCATTCCTGGAGCTGAAGAGGCAGCTTTGTGGTTAAGACTGTGACTGCTGCTCCCCCGCCCCAGGACCGGGGTTCAGTTCCCAGCACCCAGGTGCGTGCTCACAGCTGTCTGTAACTCTAGTTCCAGAGGATCCAACACCCTCTTCTGACCTTGGGCACCAGTCAAACACATGGTATACGTACATCGTGCAGGCAAAACATCCTATACATATAAAAAGGCATAATAATTCAATCATTGTTTTAAATCGTCTTAACAGTTCTATAGATGGCTACCATTGTCCCCACATCACTAATAAGGACCCTAAACCGAACAGGGTCACACAGGACGGGGCCCTGTAGCTGGGGAAGCAAGGCTCACTGGGTTCTGCTGTGTGGCTCTCTCTAGAGCATTGTTCTTTTATCGATGCCTTTGGTGGTGACTTAGATAGTTTTTTTTGTTTGTTGTCATGGATTTTCCTTTGCTTGTCTTTCTTTTCTCTTAAGAATACTGCAGGGGCTGGGCAGTGATGGTGCACGCTTTTAATCCCAGCACTTGGGAGGCAGAGGCAGGTGTATCTCCGTGAGTTCAAGGCCAGCCTGGTCTACAAGAGCTAGTTCCAGGACAGGCTCCAAAACTACAGAGAAACCCTGTCTCGAAAATAAAAAAAAAAAAGGAAAGAAAAAAATCCTGCAGGGCTGAGTTGCTGAGTTACACAGAGAAACCCTGTCTTGGCAAATTGTAAAGTCACTGTGTGTGCATACTGTATGTGTGTTTGTGCTGGCCCCTGTGTACATATGTGAGGGCCAGAGGTCAATGGCAAACGTCTTTCTCTATAGTACCTGCTTTAGCTTGGCGACTGGGTCTCCTGCTGCATCTGGAGGCAGCCATTGAGTACCTCTGCCTCTTACATGTGTGCTCAGGACTCAGGTCCTCCTGGATACGCAGCCCACAGCGGGCTCTTTACTGAGGCATTTCCCAGCTCCAACCCTTTCTTTTTAAAAAATGCTGCATCCTTTTAAGTAGGAATCTGATCTGTTCAATATACAAAACTTCATGTATTACAGAAGTAAATATCACAGGACATGAACATAGGACATGTGATTCCGTAGGTCTCACAGGGGACTTAAGTTCTGTTCCCAGGCTATGCTGGGTAGCCTCTAACTCCAGATCCTGGGGATGTGCCACCCTCTTTTGGCCTCTTTGATTAAACACACACTCACAACTCTTTAAAAAATGAGTCCATACTTACCTGGCAGGGGAGATACCATGGTCACAAAAGTGGTTTTGCACTCCGCATCCAGCCCTTGCTGTTTCCCCAAATGCGGGAAACTCGACTACATAATTTGTGATGGTGAGGTACTCGTTTGCATCCTCCCCTGGTTAAAAAAAAAATTAAAAAATGAACCCAGATCTGGAAAGTTCCCTTTAGTAACCATTATCATTATTAATCATTTTTATTAAAAAACCTATAAATGTGTGCTCTAGGAACACATAAAAGTAAAAAAGACAAGAATCATTTTAAAGGAAGATCAAGCTGTGAAAGACTAAACACAGGGTCAAATTGTATACAGTTTGGTGACAGCCTTTTCTCCTCAGTCATTAGACACTGTCAAGGTGTTTTCAAGTCATTGAAGATCCTTCCACAACATTTAGGGCGTAGAATCCATAGCGGCTTCCTAGCCCGGTTAATGCAGGTTACTCTCATTTATTTAGCTGCTTCTCTAGAGCTAAATGCTCAGTTACTTCAGTCATTTCTCCCTTTGAACCATAATCGCTAAAACGCCTCTGGACATAATTAGAGAGAGAAAGACATTTGCACAGATCTCTGACTGTTCCCCTACAACACATTTCTGTATAATTTCTGCATAATTTACAGGATCAAAGACTATGTGCATTGATAAAGTCCTTGTTTGCAGTGACAACCAACCTCACTCCCACTGCCCCACCAGGACAGGAGAGATGGCTCAGCAGTGAAGAGCCCTGGCTCCCCTTCCAGAGGACCTGGGCTCACTCCCAGCACCCACAGGTAGTTCACGATCCTCCACCACTCCAGCTCTGGAAAAGCTGATGCCACCTTCTGCCCTCCTTGAGGACTGTGTACGCATGGTGCATATGCACACATACAAGCAAAACATCCATGCATAGCACACAAATTAAAATCAAAACAGCTGAAGGGGAGCAGAGCTTTCTTATAATTTGTTTCCATCTGGCCACTCAAAACATAGAATTTTTCACAATCTTGCTGTCATTTGTACTTCTATGCCTTGCCTTGGTGTCTTTTTTTTGTCGTGACCTTTAACCCTTCCTCTAAATGTCTATCATAGAAGCAGCAAGGGTTTCCCCCATGTCTTATTTTAACCAGACTTTTTACAAATGGATTTTTTAGTAGTCAAAGTTAACCTGTTTTTACCCTTACGCTATCTACCATTGGTGTTATATTTAGAAAGATGTTTTTCACAAGAACACTACATAAATATGTATTGGCCTCTTTGCCCACACATGAGTCATGAAAGAGGATATTAACCTAATTTATTTTCTAGTTTCCACTTCGTCATAGGTTCTTTTTTCTTTTTTCCAGGGTGGATATGTGAATTTAGCTTTTTGAGTACTGAAGTAGCAAGAACCATGTTTGTACCCCCAAAACTTCCGAGGCAGTGACTGGGATGTCGGGTTTCTTTGTGGCTCTGCTGACCATCAGCACACTGGGAATCACATGTAACTACTCCCTGAATACACCTGTGCTGTACACTCACCTAGAAATAGGGAAATTTTTAAGAAGTTTTTTTGGGGGGAAGGGGTCCATCACCTGAAATTCTTTCCCTTTCTTCTGTCAAGCACCCTACTAGCCTTTTGTCATTGTTTTGCCCATCTGTCTGTCTTGTTTTTGAGATGGGGCCTGTATCAGT